TTCTTTTTTTTAACCAACTTTGTGTTGATGCACCACCACTTGTTTTCCCATTCCTCAGTTGAAGAACATCTGAATTGTTTGCTTTTTTTGGAGGTTATGACCTAAATCTGCATATAGGTATTTGTGCAAACAATTTTTAATATCTTTTGGTAAATATCCACAAAGCACAAGGTCATTTTGAGCAATAACAAGATACTGTAAAGTGTGCCCATTATTATGTAAGGCACACAGTAAGAAGCTCAATAAATTCAGCTAATAGGAAAGTTTGCTACAACATTTTATTATAAATTAAAACAATCTATTGATAGGCCTGGGGGTGTAGCTCAGTGGCAGGGAATGTACTTAGTCTATGCAAGGCCCTGGGTTCAATCCCCAGCGCACACACGCATGCACACACACATGAATCATCTTTATCATTTTTTCTGTGCACAAATAGAAGAAAATGTGCATCAGAAACACACACACTGACAGGGCCCTTTGCTGCTGAAATTGGTTGTGTTATCAGGCAGTGAGAATAGGGGATGCAAGAGCACTTCCTTTCTCTTGTAACAGCTGAGCCCTCTGTGTTATAGGACTTCCCTCACCCAGGTTTTTAGGTATAAACTCCTTTCTATGTCTAGCTGAGATACAGCGCATCCTTTTTTGAAAGTACATGACACAGAAGTATTTAAGTTAGAGGGGAAGGGCTGGAGACTCAGAAGAAGAGACTCAGAAGTAGAAGGCTTGCCTAGCAGGTGAGAGACTTGAGGTTCAATCTCCAACATTGGAAAAAAAATAAGAAGGGAAGTTTGGAGGATGATCTTGAACCCTACTCCTTTGCAGGGCCCAGGGCCTCAAGGATGCTAGACAAGCACTCTACCAATGAGCTGTGCTCAAATCACTGATAAAGATGATCTATGATTTCTTTTTGATGCTGAGGATTGGACCCGGAACCTTGCACATGCAAAGTACATTCGGTACCACCAAGCTATACCCCCAGCCCTATAAATAGTTTTCATTTAATTTTTTTAAGAGTAGGAAAAATTTATTGAGAGAAAGAAAGCTAAGACAGAAGAGGGGTTTTCATTTAATTTGTAGTAAAATCTTTAAGTTGAAATTAGTACTTCTTGAACTTTAGTATGCTTCAAAATCACCAAAATGCTTTTTTTTTTTTTTTCTGGTACCAGGAATCAAACTCAGGACCTTGCACTTGCTAGGCAGGCGCAGCACCACTGAGCTAAATCCTTAGCCCAGTTTTTTTTTTTTTTTTTCCAACCATCACACTTTTTAAAAGAATTTCTAGGTTTTAACCCAGACTTTGTGATTTCAGTTGATCTGAAGTGCCAGAATTCACATTTCAAATAAGCTTCGGGGCCAGGGATTTACCTCAGCGGTGCCACCGCCTGCCTCGAAAGCACAAGGTCCCAAGTTCAATCCCCGGTACAAAAAAAAAAAAAAAATTTCAGATAAGCCTCCATGAAATGCTCATGCCGTAGCCCAGGGACCACAAAAGACACATTTTGAGAGCCACTGCCAATGGAAAGATTAGGAAAGGCAGAAAGAAAAAAACAGCAAGTGTTTTTACAGGCTAGCTTTACACAGCCTCTTTAGAAACAGCCCCACATCTTCCCAGGACCCACTAGTAGCCAGCATTCCTTGGGCAAAGGCTCTGCTACTCCTCTAAAGATGAACTCTGACTGCACCCCTTGGCCAGGATTCAGGCCTGGGTAAAGCCCCCTTCTTGGAAAAATAGAAAGTTCTTTAAATATTCACAGCTATACAAACCCACAGTATGGAATCCCAGGCAGAACTAAGCATGGGAAAAGCACTAGGAAGAAGGGAGCAGGAAAGACCAGGAGAATCCTAAAATGTGGGTAAAGAAGCTAAGTGTGGTGGCACATGCCTGTAATTCCAATTCTTGGGAGGCTGAGGTAGGAGGACCATGAGTTTGAGGCCAGCCTGGGATACATGGCAAAACACTGTCTCCAAACAAAATAAAAAGGAGAGGTGGTTATGAGCCTGGTTGAGGGGGCCACCAAAGAAACAACTGCACAGAAACTACTGGAGGTACACATGATTTAGGGTAGTTCACAGTGAAATTATTTTTATCTTAAAAACGTATTTCTTCTTTAAAATGTCTATGAGTGATAAATGGATCTTGCTTTCTGTACTTTACAGTGAAAACCACCATAGTTAGAAACATAGACTTGCTGCCTCACAAGCACAAGGTCCCAAGTGAAACACAGACTTGGAACCAGATCATCTACATTTAAATCCGGACTCTGGCACATTCCTAGCTGTGTAATGTTAGACAAGTTTCCCTCATCCATAAAATGGGATAATACTACCAACTTCATAGTATTATTTTGTAGATTAAATGAATTACTCCATTTAAAGTATTTAGAACGAAGTACTCTGGGAAACTGAAGCAGAAGAACTGGAAGTTTAATCTCAGTCTGGGTAAAGTAAGACACTGTCTCAAAAGAAAAGAAAAAAAGGGCTAGAATATATGTAGTTCAAAGCAAAGGTCCTAGGTTGAATCCCTGAGTTCAATTTATAAATGAATAAAATAAATAAATATATGTAATAGTCTAGAACTTAATACCTTATACTAGGCATTATAAGTACAGTGGACCCCTGACTTACAAACTTGATCGGTTCCTGTGGGCTGACTGTAACTCAAATTGGTTCTAAGTCAATACAGCTGAGATCTGGATGTTTGCCTGGGTACACACTATAGATAACAAGAGGCAGATGACTCTTCCATTAACCTAATTAACCCAAATTGTTCCTATGTCAGGCTGGTTGTAACTTGAGGGTCCACTGTATTTGCTAATATGATTAAGATTTCCTTTTAAGCCGGGTGTGGTGGCGAACACTTTGTAATCCCAGCACTTGGGAGGCTGAGGCAGGCAGATCACCGCGAGAGTTCGTTTGAGAGTTCGAGGCCAGCCTGGGATACATAGTGAGTTCAAGGCTAGCCTGAACTAATAGCAAGATTGTCTCAAAAAAGCCAAAAAAGGGGCAGGGGATTTAGCTCAGTGGTGCCATGCCTGCCTCGAAAGCACAAGGTCCTGAGTTCAATCCTTGGTACCACAAAACAAAACAAAACAAAAAAAGCCCCCCCAAATTTTTTTCTTTTTAAAATAAATTTAAAAGTGAAACAATTTATTTTTTATTTTGTTTTGTTTTTTGAGACGGGGTCTCACTATGTGGTCCAGGCTGGCCTTGACCTCACTATGTAGCCTAGGCTGGCTTCAAACTCACAGCAATTGTCCTACTTGCCTCAAGGCTGAGATTATAGGTGTGTGCCCCCATGCCCAGTCTAAAAGTGAAAGAATTTAAAGAAAAGTATTTGATAAATCATAACGCAGATGTCAAAATTTGTGGACACGGCAAAATTTGAAACGCACACAAATGCCTGAATTTGGCAAAAAATTCCTTTTTTTCTTTGAGAACCAGCGCCTTACTATGACATGGTCTTGAACTTGCGATCTCCTGCCTCAGCCTCCTGAATGCTAGAATTAAGGTATGCACCACTTCACTTAGCTTGACAAAGATTTTCAAACTGTGCTCCAGAGCTTTGGGGGAGCCATGGGACAGGGTTAAGCATCTTTGGCTGCAGATCCACTTCTGCTTTGCAGATGTGCCTTCAAGATGTTTGAACAGTTTCCTTCCTCCCTCCCTTCCTTCCTTTTTCCAGGTCTCATCCCCAGCCTCCTATAAAGTGGTAGATGACTGGAGATGAGAGGTCAGGGTTTAGCTATGGGCAGAATGTAGGAGTTTCTGCAATGACCTGAATCCTGGGCTTTAGGCTTAAAAGGGTAAGCTGCCAGGGGCCACAGGGAGCTGAAAAATAACCAGCAAAGGATTGGCCAGAAGAAGCAGGGTGCAGGGACTAGCTTGGGAGGCAGTGCCAGCAGCCTTGAAACAGCAAGGCCTGGGGCATGCGAGCAGAGCCAGGAGCCTCACAGCCAAGGCCAACTAACTGTAAAGCTACTGCCTTGTCCCAGGCAGGCAGCATAGGAACAGAGTCTGTAGTCTGACAGCTCACCCTGTTGTAAAGTCGGCTTTGACAAGGATGGGCATGCCTGATGTGGTCCGGCAGGGTAGGGAACAGAGCAGTATGCTATTCCCTGATTACCAGCAACTGGCTGCAAGGGGTGCTTTTCTGGGGCTGCATCCAGGGGCCCCATATGGCCTCTGAACCACATCCACTACTGCTTAACTATATGCCAGGCCCTGTGCCGAGCACTTTACTTATTAATTGTGAGTTAATTAGGTTAGTCTTTTACTTATAAAATAAATTAAACCAGATTAAAATTTTAATGTGGGAGGGCCATACATTAGAGGGATACAGGCGTGTTTCTTGAATTCCAGGACAAGAGGCAACTGGCCTCAGGGAAGCTGGAATTCTCCAGAAATTTTCTAATGTTTTTTGTTTTTATTGTTTTGGAGACAGGGTCTTGGTATGTAGTTCAGGATGGCCTTGAACCTACCATGTAGCCCATCCTGACCTAGAACTCACAGTAATTCTCTTGCCTCCACTTCCCAAGTGCTGGGATTATAGGTATGACCCACCATGCCTGGTTTCTCTAGCAACTTTTAGGTTCTCTCAGGGAATCTGCCTCATTCCTCCTCTTTTGCAGATTGGCTTTTCCTGATACTCAGATGATAAGACAGGAGGAAGTAAAGTTCCCATAATCCCACAGTATGGGTCCAACCACAGCTGGGTCCACTGTGATTCTTGGGGGAAAGCAGAGTTCAGCATGGGTTGGGATCCATTTGGTTCCAATCAGATATAGTGAGGGGGAAGGGGAGGCCATACACAGAAGTATCGCTGCTATGGCCCCACATTATGACATCAAGGAGGAAGCTAGTTTCTTAGGGTATGTGTGGATTTGGATCTGTCTTTGTTTGGCTCCAAGGCTAAGGGGTTGCCCTTGATGAGAACAGAGGCAGAGAGCCCATATGTTCACCAAGCCCATTAAGGGACACAGAGACACAGACACAACACAAAGTTCTGTAAGAAAATAAAAGTTTAGTTTGCCAAGGTATCATCACAGCTGTTCTTGCATTCCCTGTACCTAGTTCTTGTAGGCCTGGGCAAGTGAGGAGGAAGGTACTCAGCTGGGAGGAGGAACAGACTTGAGATGAAGCTCTGCTCAGAGGTGGGCAGGGGGCTGGCCCAAGTTCTTCCGGCCCTCACCAGCAATAGGCCGGCCTCGCTCCTCCCAGATGGTGACACCATCACAGGAGCAGATCTGTTTGGGGTTCTGGAAAAGGCCAGCAGAGCGTGCGATGATGCCACAGGCCAACCTGCAGAAGGATGTGGGGTCAGAGTAGGCCCTCATCTGATTTCCCCCAGGGTTCTCCATGCACCACTGGCAGAGCACAGCCTTCCTGCTGGGTGGCAACACTCACCTCTCCCCAGAGTTCCCTGTGATCTTGGATAAGGGATGGCCTCCCCGGCCCAGGTCATCTTCTCCCTCATCGATAACTAGGCTGCGGCCAATCACATCCCACACCTTGGAGGGGAGACAACAACCCTCAGCCCACTGTTCTGTTAGAAAGGGTGCTCACCTTCTTTTCACCTCACCTTCAGCTGCTCATCCTCTATCCGGAAGATGGCTCGGCCATCAGCATCAGCATGGACATTGCCCAGGTCTCCATGGTGCTGGAATGAAACCCAGACAGAAATGATTACAAGAGCCACAGCTGCTATCATCTGGCTTCCTGGTAGCTGATTCCTCATCTCAACTCCCCAAACTACCAACTTCCTCCTGTGGCTCAGTCTGATTAGATTAAGGATAGCCCAGGACTCAAGTACAGCAACTGGACACTCCTCCATTATAAGTAGATTCCTGGGCAGAACGTCAGAGTACTGGAAAGAGCCAGCTTTCCCCTTGTAAGCCGGTTGCTAGCCCTGCTTCCAGCCTCCACGAGCCATATTCCTGCTTCTTTCCAAGCCTAGTTCCCCAGGCTCCTAGTGGCTCCTTGTCAGTGTTCAATTCCTCAGGCTTCAGTTGGCCATGCTTGGCTTCCCTGATCATCCCAACAGCCAGCACCACTTCCCTAACCCCAGCCCCAAGAAACAAACACAAGGAGATAAAGGGCCTGTTCTAGCCCCAGAAACTGGCTCTGCCCACCTTCTTTTACAAAAAAGTGTCATGACACATCTACTTAGCGTGACCTATGAGATACTCTGCCGGGCATGGCAGGAGTATATACAGGGCTCCTCTCCAAGGCCTCAGATGTGAAACAGATGTGATTATGAAATAGCATGAGGACAATAGCTGACAACTTCTGGGTGACAGGACCTTACTGGTGAGCCACAGAAATTACATCTGCCCAACCTGACACTTGGTACCTGAAGCGTGGGCTGATTCATCTGCCCTTGCTGCTGGATAATAGCACATCAGTGTGTGCTGGAGCTGACAGCTGCAAAGAACATAGGCTCTGCTTTATCTTATCCAGATGGACATCTGCTGCTGCTGGCATCTGGCACTTTTGTTATGCCGCCCTGTGTTGGGGACTTTAGTGCTAGAAAGATGAAACCTGGAGGAGTGTGTCTTTGGCTAGGCTAGACTAGGGAGCAGGCTGAGAACTGTGGCAGGAGGCATGACCCTGCAGGGGGTTAGGGAGAGGCAGAATTTCCAGTCCCTCTCCTCAGCATACAGGCCAGGGAGGCCTTCAATATCACACCTACATGCTGGGCCCAGCCTGTAACCTCAGGCACTAAAGGAACAATAAGGGTTTCAGGCAGGGAAAGGCATGGTTCCTCTGTGCTTCACACCAATCCCTCTAGTAGTGCCTGAGGAGGAAGGACTGGAGGGGGATGAAAAGACAGAAGAAGGAAGCTTAGAGACCATCAGGAGATAGGCAAGGGACAATCAGGCTTGGATGTAAATTCCCATACTCAAGTAAGTTTCATATGACCAAAACCATGTAATGAAAACTCTAAAGAAACGTGCCAAATATTCATATACTATTAAGAAAAAGCTTGGGCCGGGGATTTAGCTCAGTGGTTCCGGCGCCTGCCTCGAAAGTGCAAGGTCCGGAGTTCGATCCCTGGTACAAAAAGAAAAAGCTTAACTCTCTATGAAGGGCCATAATCTTCTATAAATTTTATAAAACAAAACAAAAAATAACAAAAAAGCAGTACTTGCAGCTAGCAGGGAAATATAGCCCATATAATTCTAAAATCATGCAAATAAGGGTGTTAAAAGGGTTTACATCTAAAAAATGTAAACACTTGGTTGATTGGAGGTTATGTATACTGGGAAATAATAAACACTATAAGGATAAAATTACAGAAAATCTCTCCTAGTCATGAAATAAGATCCACGTAGACAAAGAAATGCATCATCCTGATGCCCCTTCAGGGAAAGTCTGGTCATGGCCCACTTGCGTGTAGTGTGGTCAGCAGACAGCCTGCAGGGCAGGAGGCTTCAACATCTGCCTTGTCTTCCCACTTCCTCTCCCCAGGTGTGATCCCTAATATACATCTTGTAGTCCAAACTTTAAAAAAAAAAAAGAAAGAAAGAAAGTTGCCAGACATCATGGCATCCTTAGCCACTCATTTCTTACTCAATTCATTCTATCTACGCCCAAAGGCTTGGGTTCAATATGACTACTGACTCTGGTCCTTTCAGGGAGAAGATGCAGGTCACGAGGCAATCTCTTGCCCTTCAGAAACACTCCAGTATGTCACATCTCAAGGGCTTTGCCTGATCAGGTCCCTGTGCTGTGTCTGCCTTCCCCACTCTCACCTTTTTTTCCTGCTAGGTTCCCGTCCATCACCTCTCAAGGCTCCCAAGGCAGAGAGCCTGCAGTCACACCTCCCATATTCACATTCTATGTGATTTATCTCCCTTGAGGGTGGGCCACACCAAGTGTTATTTCCCAGGTTAGGTTACAGTAAGAATGTGGCTTCGAGGTTCTCACTCACAAGCTCTGAGAGAAGTCAGCTGCCAGTGTCATAAGCTTCCCTAGGGAGAGGCCCATGTGGCCAAGGACTGATGTCTGGCCAACAGCCAGGGAGAACCCCAGGCCTGCCAACAGCAACATGAGCAAGCTGGGAAGCAAATCCTCATGTCGGGCCCTGAAATGACTGTGGTCCTGTGAGAGTCTGAGCCAGAGGCACCCAGATTCTTCCCCCATAAAAACTGAAATATGAGTGTTTTTTGTCTTACACTCCTTACACTGGAATCATTCAATTTGAGGCAACACATCACTAATATCCTGACTACAAACATCTAATTGTGCAAAGAACCAGGCAGAAACCCCTCTCCAACTTCCCAGGGCACAGGGTAAAAACTTATGACGATGAGAAAAGGGACAGAACTGTCAAAAGTCTTAAAAAAAAAAAAAATCAGTCACATGAATTAAGAAACATGTACAGGGTGAATATGCTTTATCTGAAATGCTTGGGACCAAAGTGTTTGCTTTCAGAGTTTTTTGAATTTTGGAATATTTGCATACGCTTTACTGCAGCCCTAATCTGAAAATCCAAACTCTTAAATGAGCTCCACTCAAAGTTTCAGATTTCAGAGCACCTGGATTTTGAATTTTCAGATTACAGGGATGCTCAACTGACCCCACAGATTCATTGGCTTTGTGTCAGAAGATCGCAAATTCCCATGGAATAGAAAATAAACACAATGAGCCGGGGATTTAGCTCAGTGGTTATGGCGCCTGCCTTGCAAGCGCAAGGCCCTGAGTTCGATCCCTGTTACCAAAAAAAAAATAAAGAAAAGAAAAGAAAAACAAAAAAAAGAAAAGAAACACAATGTCTAGGAGGACATAAGAAGGAGCTAGCAGTTTCCCAGCATGAGGAGCCAAAATCTGCCCTGGGACTATCTCCCAAGTGCATGGGGGATTCACACCCCTAAAATGGAGATGCTACTAGATATATGAGGAGTCCTTAAGGAACATGAAATCACTGAGGAAAGGCAATCCTCTCTTCAGTGGTTTCCCAAACTCTGGGAAGACATTAAGGACCAAGTCTCAGGTCAGTGTTAACAAGTCTTTAACTCCTCACTAATGTCCTCTCATCTCTACTTTGACAGCGATAAAGCAGGTCTCAGTCCCCAGGCATCTGAGGTCAGACTCTAGCAGGGTCCCCCCTCCTTTGGGGGGTGCTTTCATTGATTTATTTTATAATGATCTTCTTCTTATGGCTAGAAGTACTGGTTTTTCATTTTAGGTAGCAATACCAAGTTTTGTTTTTTGAATGGGACTAGGCATTGAATCTACGGCCTTCACACTGAGCTACTGCTACAGCACTTTTTTTTTTTGAGACAAGGTCTTGCTGATTTGTTAAATTGCCTGGGCTGGGCTGCGCTCAAACTTGGCAATCCTCCTGGCTGAGCCTCACAGAGTGCTAGGATTATAGGCATGTGCAACCACATCTAGCTTCAAGTTTCTCATTAAAAATAAATCTAGCGGGCCGGAGATTTAGCTCAGTGGTTTCGCCACCTGCTGCGCAAGCGCAAGGACCAGAGTTCGATCCCGGGTACCAAAAAAAATAAATAAATCTACCTCAGGGCCTGGGATTTAGCTCAGTGGTGCTGAACCTGCCTTCAAAGTGGAAGGTCCTGAGTTTGATCCCCAGTACTGAAAAATCAATCAATCAATCTACCTCAGCCAAGGCAAGTGCTATCCAACTATAGTTCCACTACTTGTGAGGCTCAGGCAGAAGGACTGCTTGAGCCCAGGAGTTTAAAACCAGCTAAAAGCCAGGCATGGTGGCACACAACTGTAATCCCAGCACTTAGGAGGCTGAGGAAGAAGGATCACCATGAGTTCCAAGTCAGTCTGGGCTAAATAGTGAGTTCAAGGCCAGCCTAAACTATAAAGCAGGACCCTGTCTCAAAAAAAAGACCAGCCAGAGCAATCTACTAGTAAGATTCCATCCCAATCAGTCAGTCAACAATCTACCTTAATGATATGAAGTAAAGTCTTGATTTGCTTCTGAAAAAGGGCCAAGAATGTAAAGAAACAAAACTGATCTTGAACTGGTAACTTGAAGCCAAATGATTAGGACATAGGAGTTCATGATACTTGTTGCTCTACTTTGGAACACTCTTGAAACTTTTCAATGATAGATTAAAAAACTAAATAAAAACAACTAAATTTGCCTAAGGAAACAAATGAGTGAACTTAAATGCCTGAATAATGAACAGTACTCGTTGTATTTAGATAAGCCAAAAATCATCAAGGTGGCACATGAAGATGGGGCAAGAATTTTCTGATGAAAAATGGAACTCCAAGGCTGGAGGAGTAGTGTCAAGAATGGCATTTTTAGTAAAACTTCCACTTCCACAGTCTCCTATCTCTGGGAGGTGTTCTCCCTCTGACCCTGACCCTCAGAATGGATCAGGGGCTCAATCTGGGCTCCCAGGATTCATGCCAGGCTTCTCTTACTGCACCACCACCTCAGAATTTGGTGATCTCCCCTGCTAGACTGTGAGCCCAACGGGGAGGCATTGGGCTGTGTACTGTTGTATCCCAGGACCTTGATTATGGAAAACATGAATAAACATCCCTAAGCTGAACAGATCAAGTGAAAAGAAAAGGTCCCAAGAGCTGCCTGCCCTGCCTCGGAGAATATGGGTTCTCTCTATGACCAGCCCAGCCCAAATTGACACTTACCCGGTCAGAGTCCTGAGGGCCCCCATGAGACCTTCCATCAGGGTTGAAGTGGTCCCCACAGCTAAGGAGGAAAGACAGCAGGTGGGCAACCAAACGAGCTCACAGGCCAGGCAGTCCACCCTCTTCTCTATCTATATTTGTGTTATTCATTCATTCATTCATTCACTGAACTAAGAGCCTGGGTTATGCCCTCAAAGAGTTTCTGGTCTAGGAGAGACACAGATGAGTAAACAACTAATGATATCATAGCAAGACCAACACCCTGACATGGGGATCCTTCCCTTCCTGTATCCAGGAGTTGTCTTCTATCTCAGAGGCAGTCAGGTGGTTCCTGGGAGAAGCCTCAGAGTCAGATCTTAATTTGAATTCCCAGCTCTACCTTTTTATCCACTGGGGCCTTTCATAAGTCATCTAACCTGTTTGAGCCTCAGTTTCCTCATCTGTAGACTGGGGTAATGTGCCTCCCAGGTATTTGTGAGGACCCAATGTAAAATCATGTAGCTGAAGGCAGTATAAGGAAGATTACAGATAACTTACCTGCTGCAGTCCCTTGTGAGGTCCCCATACTGATGGACATGGAGCCCATGCAAGCCAGGCTGCAGGCCATCAATGGTTCCCTCGATGAGGCACCGCTCAGGGCTCAGCTGTAGGAAGCGTACCACCCCCTGCACAGGGCCAGGGCCTCCCAGAATGGCCACTGCTGCCCCCAGATTCTCTGCAAGGTATTGGACACTTAGCCCGGCTTGCCACCTCAACCAGCCCTATCCCATTATCAGCTCAGGATGGACAATGAAAGAGTCTCATACAACTTTCACCCCATTCCCAAAGCCACTCCAAACCAGAGCCTAAAACTCTCATGGTTAGATTTGTACCAGCTCTAGGCCAGTCCCAGACAGTCAATCCCAAAGTCATGATGATCACTTACGCAATTGGCTGCTTCCCATGCCCTTGAGTACAGCCTGCCGCCCAGTGCCTTCCAGGAGTGCCTGCACCTCCCGGCTAGGCAGAGTGGTCTGCACTAAGACCATTTGATTCTCCAACTGCACCTTTACATCCTGGACACCTGAAAGGAGAGAGAGGGCAGAGGGCAACAGAAGGTTGGCACCCTGTGCCGGCAACAAGGAACAAAGGTAGATAGAGAGTGGCTCCCAAATTCCATCCCCACTAACCTTACTATGGCCAGAGCTAAGCTTGGAAGCTGCCTTCTAGATGTGTGACCTTGAATCCTCTTAACCTTTTAATTCCTCAGAGTCTGCTTCTTCTTCTTCTTTTTGTTTTTTTTGGCAGTACTGGGGATTGAACTCAGGACCTTGTGCTTTCGAGGCAGGCAGCAGCACCACTGAGCTAAATCCCCAGCCAGGGGTCTGCTTCTTTACATATAAAGTGGGAAAAACAGCCAACTCACTCTCAGGATTTTTGTGAGTCTGTTACATACCACACTTATTTATAACTGTTTTTTTTTTTTTTCTTTTTCCAATACTGGGGATTGAACTCATGACCTTCATACTAAACTACATCCTCACATCCTTAGCCCTTTATTTTTTGAGACAGGGTCTTGTTAAGTTACTAAGTTACCCAGGCTGGGCTCAAATTTATGATTCTCCTTGCTTAGCCTCCCAGAGTTTTGGGATTACAGGTATACATCACAACACCTGTCTTATTTATAACTTTTGAGATATTTAAAATGCTTCTTAAAATGTTTTTATAAAAGTGGGCTATTCCAGGACCAGGGATTTAGCATGGTAGCATCGTGCCTGCCTTGCAAGCACAAGGTCCTGAGTTCAATCTCCGGTACCAGAAAAAAAAAAAAAGTGGGCTATCCATAGTAGCATTATTGATAATAGCTGAAAGATGAAAACAACCTGGAGGCTCATCAACTGATGGACAGATAAGTAGTAGTATCCATACGATGGATTATTATTAGTTATAAAAAGGAAATGAAGTATAAATACATGTTACAACATGGATGAACCCTGAAACACTTTGTTATGTAAAAACTTGTCACAAAAAGCCACAAATATTATATGAAGCTATTTATAGGAAATATCCAGAACAGGCAAATCTATAGACAAAAAATAAGTTAGGGGCACAGAATAGGAAAATGATAACTGAAGGACACAAGATTTCTTTTTTTTTTTTGGTACCACGGATCGAACTCGGGACCTTGCGCTTGTGAGGCAGGCAGCAGAACCACTGAGCTAAATCCCAGACCCAGATACAAGATTTCTTTCAGTGATACAAAATATAAAATTCATAGTGGTGATGGCTGTACAACTCTGTGAATATACTAATTCCCTTGTAGACTTTTATTTTTTTAAATTTATATTTATTAGTACATGTTTACAGTACATAATAATTACCTTCACTGTGGGGAGTTGGTACATACACATAACATGTCTTGGTTCTTTTTATGTCCCCTTCCCCCTCCTCTGCCTCTGCACTATATACTTTAAATGAGTGAATTTTATGGTATATAAATTATATCTCAATAAAGCTGTTATGTGCATTAAAGAGGGGGCTATTGTCATCATCCTGAGAGCTGACACTAAGAAAGTACCATGGATCAGGCCCTTTTTGACACGTTTTACCTGTATTGACTCATTTGATACAATAACCCTATGAGTTAGGTGCTACTATCTCTATCTTACAAGTGGGAGAATTGAGGCACAGAGTGATTAAGAAACTTGCTCAAAGTCATATTTTAGTAAGTTGTACAACAGGAAACCCTAGGTAGTCTAGCTCCAGAGTATAAGCACTTAATTCAGACATTCTGCTTACCCCAAGAAACAGGCTCTTGTTTCCTGGCTGGGCTGAGAACTTACATACACACACTTCTCCTATAGCAGCTCCTACCTACCTTGAGTGATCCACTCTGCAGAGTAAAGTCTTCTGTTTCATTCACTAGGCTGCTAGCTCTTTTGGGGCAGAAGCTCTGTGTGGTCATAACACCCCACGTATGCAAGTCTCTGGCATGATTCTTACATACTTTCATGAAAACAGTCTCAGCTGAGCATGGTGGTACATACCTGTAGTCCCAGCACTCAGGAGGCTGAGGCAGGAAGATCATTTGTTTGAGACCAGCTTTAGCTACATAGCAAGTTCAAAGCAAGCCTGGGCTGCTAGGGAGGCCCTGTCTCAAACAACAACAACAATATAAAGCAGGGGTAGTGTAATCTCAGGACTCTGGAAAGCTGAGGCAAGAGGACTGAAAGTCTGAGGTCAGTCTGAGTATGTTAGTAAGACCCTGTCTCAAAAAAATTAAAAGAGGGCTGTGGATGTAGCTCAGTACCAATGGCCTGGTTTCAATCCCCAGAATAAAAAAATTTTAAAAACCTCACATAACTTATGCCGTGTTGCCTGAGGTATGGCTTAAAAAAAATTCAGGCTGGGGGCCAGGGATTTAGAGCAGTGGTGCTGCTGCCTGCCTCAAAAGCGCAAGGTCCTGATTTTGATCCCTGGTACCAAAAAAACAAACAAACAAGTCAGGCTTTTACATGGAAAAGCTACCAGAGGGGAAACTGAGGCAACAGAGAGCCCACCAATGAGGTTTTTGACAGGTCAGGAAGAGGCAAGCGGGGAGGCCTGTGTGTGTTTTGCACACATATTAGATGAGGCTTCCTGATGGCCTAAGCTTAGCCAAAGTGGGTTTCCCATCCCTGGGGTCTCACAAGAAGGGCTGATTTTCTGCTTCTGAAGTAACAGTGTCTGAAGGGGGAAGCACCTTATAACTATACCCCTCCTAAATTCCTGACCTGCACCTCAGCCAGAAGGCTGGTTCCTCAACAAAGTAGATGTTCAATTTGGCTGGTGAACCTTTGACTAGAGCCAGGCCAGGCTTTAGTTGGTTCAGGGCCCCTTGAGAAGAAGAGAGGCCAAAGGAACTGCAGGGCAAGTGACAAGGCCTCAAGGGGGTGAACCTGGAGATGTGAGCTCCTCTAATTCACCCCTGGAAGGAGATTAAAGATGTCTTTCCCAAGGCCCCAGGCAACTCTCACTCTCTGTGCCTTCTGGAAACTGTGACTCCCCTGCCCAGCCCATGACAAACCTAAGCCTGTTCCAGTGACCCAGACCAGAAAACAGAGTCACCAGAAGTCTTTCTGGTGCCTAAGAAAACCTGCTGAGGGCTGAAAACTGCCCTATATTCAAGAAAAAGCCCAGCTGTCTGCTATTGCAGCAGAAATGGTTTACTGGAAAAGCTTTAATTAGAACACTCCACTCTCAGTGGACTAGCTCAACTTCATCCAACCCTTACCCACCACACACATTGTCTAGACAAACCCAACTTCAAGATCTGTCCCCTCACACCTCCCTTCAAGCAGAGAACCTGTAAGCCTTTCCTCTCATCTTCATCTGAGATATATTGGGCTCTCACTACATGCCCCAGACTTTGCTAAAGTACTATATACATGTTAAATAATTTATTCCTCAGGACAACCCTCCAGGCCTTTGTGTGACTCCAGGGTAGCTATTATCATTGCCATTTAAATTGCAGAAAAAGAGGCTCAAAAGGTAATATCCAGAGCTGGGGATTTAGCTCAGTCTGCCTCACAAGCGCAAGGTCCCGAGTTCCATCCCTGGTACCAAAAATATAAATTAACTAATTAATTAATTTTTAAAAGGTAATATCCATGAAATCTTTGTGCCACTAAGTGGCAAAGAGAAAGTTTGAATCCAAACAGATCTGAATCCAGAGGGCAACTATCTAATTACTACATACTTCTAATTTCATGAAGTGTTCTGTGACTGCCAGCAGGGTGACACTTGGATGCCCATCTTTACCTAAGCACAAGGGTGAACCATCTCCCTAAAAAGCCCCCAGTGCCTGGTCCATATCTGCTGAATGACTGGATGAACACACAGCAGTATTGAAAGACACCAGTTCTCAGTGCCATGTCAATAGCTCTGCCTTTCAGATTGTTCCAGTTGTGCCAGGTCCCTACATTCCTACAGGTCTTTTAAGAACCAGAAGCTACCTAAGATGAACCAGGGCCAGAGTTGCTTGTTTTGTCAAGATTGTGCTGTTTCCCAATTAAGAACACTACCTATGTTCCGGGGAACTCCTTCCAGAGAAGGAGCTTCTCATTCTCTGGGCCACCTGGGGCTCAGGCCAGCACCGGGACAGGCAGAGCCAGTAGAGGGCTCTGGCAAAGCAAGCTTAAGACCTGCACTCTGGGCCTCAATTTTAGATCTCTCTCTCTCTTTGGGGGGGGGGGGGCGGGTACCGGGGATCGAACTCAGGTCCTTGCGCTTGCCCAGCAGGCGGTGAAACCACTGAGCTAAGTCCTCGGCCCGATTTTAGATCTCTGTGCGACTCTTGAGAACATTTCTTTCACTCTCTAGGTACTGGTTTCTGCGTGTGTAAAATGAATACAGGGCTAGACTGAGATTGCCATGGTCCTTCCCAGAGGTCTCCGAACTGGCCGCGGAAAGGTTAATTCTGGTCTCACCTGTCACCCCTTGTAGGGACTTGAGCACCGCGTCCACGCAGCTCTGACAAGTCATCTGCACGGCGAACTCCAGCTGCAAGGACGTTAGAGACCGGCCGTTGAGGGCTGGGGTCTTGTCTGATGCCATCACTCCAATGCCTGAGACTTGGCCACATGATTTCTCTCCAAGTCCCTTCTTCATTATCTCTCATGATTATTCCAGGACCGTAATTTCATTCCCATCCAACCCCCACTCCCACGCCAAGGGTCCTGCTGCCCCTGCCCCTCAATTTCACCTCGCTGTCTCTGGCCCAATCCCAGGTGCCCGCTTCTTCCCGATTTCCCAAGATAACAATTACCCCAGGGGCGGGGGCTATGGCTCACGAGACTACACTCGAAACCTCCATTCTCACCGTGCACAGGGTCCCGCGCTCCCCGTGGTCCGAAGCCATTCTAGATCAAGTCACCAGCCCGCAGAACGCAGAAGGTAGAAGCCAAGGCAGCGCCGTATAGCTGGGAAGACTGAGCTTCGAAAGCAGCCTTTTGCCCCGCCTCCTGGCGCGTGCGCATGCCAGGTCCTGCGAGGACCTCACAAGGCAGCGGGCAAGGGCTGCGCAAGCGCACTCGGGCCACCAGGGCCTGGTTGCCTTAGCAACTGTTTAGCGTCTTTTGCCCTGAGGGCTAGAGTCGAGTGCGCCAAGATGGAGGACCAGAAGCAAGGGACTGAACTTCAAAGGTTTTACCACCAGTTGCTAAGTCCACTGTCGCTTTTCCCGCGCAGGGCGACGCCCCCAGAGCCTCAGAAGCGCCGCTCAGAGGAGGTCTCGAGATGGCAGACCCTACCGCTCGCTAAACTGAGGGTGGCTTCGCTGTGCCACCAGGTGGCCAAGCTGCTGGCCAGTAGCGGGCTGACGGCGCGGTTGTCTCCCGAAGACCGACTCCATCTCACCGAGGTCATCCTGAATGAATTGAAGTGCAACTGGCAGGAGCCTCCTGCCGAACCTAGCCTTGGCTATGGGAACAACCAGAAGCTACGGAAGCGGCTCGAGGCCTGCATCCTGCTCAGTTGTGAGCAGCTCTTCCTACGCTACCTGCATCTCCTGATGACTATGTCGACTCCCAGGGGAGTCTTCACAGAGTCAGCCATCCTCACCAGGTTGGCTGCCAGCCTTGCCAGGGACTGCACAGTTTTCCTCACCAGTCCCAACGTCTACCGTTGCCTGCTTAAGGATTTCCAGGCACTGCTGAAGGTAGAACAGGCCCCTGGCAACCTGGGCAAGCTGAGCCCCATGTGCCCCGTTGGGACCTTCAAGCTCTGCCCCATCCCCTGGCCTCATAGCACTGGATTTGGCCAAGTGCCATGCTCTAGCCTCAATTTGAACTACCTCATCCAACTTAGCCGCCTACCAGAGTTTCTCAGGGAGCCTGAACTGGATCCAGTGAAAGAACTGAAGTCCATCCCTGAGCTGAAGAGTAAAAAGCACCTTCACTGGCTGTCCTCCATACGAAAGGAGAGAGAAATCGACTTGAGTTCCTCACAGATGGTATCACTACCCAGCCACTCTGTGACTCCCACCAGTGTGGCTTCCCCTCTCCTCTTCCCTCTCTACTCTTGGCTCCAGAGAGGCCAGTCCATGCCTTCTCTCCATGAAGGCTGGATGCTGGCAGATGAGCTGGGCCTTCCTCCACTCTCCACTCGCCCCTTGAGCCCATTGGTTTTGGCTCCAGAGAGCAAACCAGAGCTGACTAGGGACATAGTGGCTGAGGATCTGAAACAAAAGACGAAGAACATGAACTGGGAGTGGACTCACTACTCACCATTGGACTCAGGCTTGCCCCGACTCCTGGGGGCTGTGACCTGTCGCCCAGCTGCTGAACATCGCATGGTAGAGCTGCAGAAAATGTTGAAGAGGCTCCAGGAGGAAGAAGCCACTGGACAGTGCAACCTTCAACTCCCCAAATCACCTCCACTTCAACCACAGCCAGTGACCATTACTTTGAAGCTAAGAAATCAGGCTGTGGTCCAAGTAGCTGCTATGCAGCTCTCTGATAGAAACTTTTTGGACTCTTTCCATGTGGAGGAGGCTGGAGTCCTGTATAACCACCTGGCTGGTGAACTGGACTCCAAAGCCATGGAAGAAATGGATGTTGACTACTATGTTGCCAATAGCCTCAAGGAAGTCTATAAGGAGTTAATGAGCTGTGCCTCTACTAACCACCTCTGTTTTGACCAAGGACCCCTAGTTGAAGCTGCAGCAGAGAAAGACTGGTCAACCTTCCTGTCCTCAGCTTTTCTATGCCAAGAAAAACAGTTTCAAATGATCGACCCTGACCTAGCGAGACTTTACTCCCAGAAAACAAACACTATGGAGTCCAACCCTGAGAAGAGAGCTTCTCTCACATCAACCCAGGCAGCCAAAGGCTGGGAGAAGCGGTCAAATAAGCCCTCCTGGATGAGCTGGTGGAAAAGCACCTTGTCTGTGGATGACTACTTCAAGCACCTCACAAACCAGGAGACAGATTTCCTCCATATAATTTTCCGAATGTATGAAGAGGAGGTTCCTGTAGAGGTATCAGCCCCTGTCAAAGAGTCCCTAGAGATTCAATGTCCTCCTCCCTTGATAGAAAATGAAGAACCAGACTTTGTGCCAGGAGAGTGGGACTGGAACACAGTGCTACAGCACAGGCTACGAGCTGGGAGGCCCAGTATCCTAAGCCTGCAGAAGCGTCTGGAACGACTATGGTCCATGCTTGAGGTCCCCAACAAAGTCCTACTGGACATGGCTGTTAAGTACAGCTCCAATGCCCGTCTGCAGCAGCTACCATCGCTAGTGAAGGCCTGGGCACAGGCTATGAGGTCCATTCAGCTTCGAGAGGTATTTCTGGGGAGACTGGAGGGGTTTGAGGGACAAGCCTCTAACCCCAACCGCTTCTTCCAAAAGATTGAGTTAGACCTAAGTCAACTCCTGGAGCAAGATCGGTTCCGAAGCTATATCCACAAGCAGCTCAATCAAATGGAGCCACCTTTGGTTTCCCTTCTAGAGGAGATTGAGCTAATCTTCGGTGAGCCAGTGACCTTCAAAGGCCGGCGCTACCTGGACAAGATGAAGCGGGACAAAGTGGAGATGCTGTATTGGCTCCAACAGCAGCGGCGGGTTCGAAAACTGATCCAGGCCCAGAAGGCCTCCCTTCAATCCGCCCTGTTCAGGAGTAACAGCAGCTGGTCTTTAATCGCTCCTGGGAATAGTCCCACTAACCTTTAACCAAACCAAATACCCTCAAATCCCTCCCTCACCCCCAAACACCCAGCAGCTCATCTGACCTCTTGATGGCTTTAGAAGAAGAAATATGGGTATCTTTATCTGGGGACTCAGGGCTCAGAAACATTGTGCTTCCAACTGTAAGGGACTAAGGGTAGGTCTTTCTTTTGACAGTGAAATTCTTGTAAAAGAATCCCCATACCCAGTATTCCCATTTATGACAACAGCTTCGCACAATATAACTAAAATCTCATAGCTAAAGAACTGAGAGAATCGCTCGAAATTTATTGTAATGGGAAGACCACACAGAAGGAAATCATGATCTTTGGAACAATCAAGTTTACCATTCTTATCTTATGACATTTACTTGATGGTTAGATACCCAAATCAAAAGTCTCAATGGCAGAATAGTTAAGAGCTAGGGCTCCAGGGGCCAGGGATTTAGCTCAGTGGTTCCACCGCCTGCCTCGAAAGCACAAGGACCCAAGTTCGATCCCCTGGTACCATAAAAAAAAAAAAAAAAAAAAAAAAGACCTAGGGCTCCAGAGTTAGTAGATAGAGGTTTAAATCCTGGCCAGGTGATCTTGGGCAAGTTACCTACCTTCTCTGCATTTGGATCATCAAGTCAAATGAAAGAGTTGGGTCCAGGTTGTCACTTCTTCCAGTTTTGTACCTATTGGTAGGGCTGAAATTTTTAATTTAATGTTTACATTTAAGCCAGGCTTGAGATCCTATCTCAAAAAAAAAAAAAATCTTGACACATTGACCCTTGATTGTGCCTGCTTTTGTCATGGGATGCCCTAGTGCTACTACAAGCTTGGGGACTCTGAGGCTGGCTCCATGTACTGTACACAGCTTAGGCATTGTAAGAGGATGTGTGCTGCTTCATAGTTGGCAGCTATTGTAAGATTGGGACATCTTCTCAGGGGCTACTTAAACTGTTAGGTGTCAAAGTGCTCCACTATATTCAAATGAGTATCCAAGCTCATTTTTAATATTTTCAGTAGGTTTCAAAAAGAGTAGTATTCCAAGCCAGGTGTGGTGGTGCATATCTGTAATCCCAGCATTGGGGGAGGCAGAGGCAGGAGGACTGCCTCGAGTTCGAGGCCACCCTGGGCTACATAGTGAGCTCAAGGACTGATGAACTACAGAGCAAGACCTTGTCTCAAAAAAAAAAGGTAGTATTCCATTAACAGTAAGTCTCAGCAATTGTACAATCTAAACGTTGCTCAAAATATCCTCTGATTGTGTTAAGAGTTGTCATCTGAGCACAAGTTATCATCATACAGATTTGCTCAGCTACGTCTTCATTGGGAAAACTGAAGTTGATGGTTATTATTCCAAACATGAACAGAACTGCCAATGGGTGATTATTGAGCCAATCAGTAAACTGGCCAGCAGCAGAACCTATGAACAAGTTTACTGAACTTTCAGGTCTTGGCAGCTAGAGAAGAACACAAATATACAGTAAATGAATTTTTTCCAGACTTATTCTATATTGCTTATTTTTGCAGATAAGGCAACAGTGACATAGGATAATATCTCCCACCCAAACTTAAATTGATGCAATTTCTTTTGAAGTCAGTTCTCATTCTGTATCCTTCATTTTGTTGGGTATAGAGTGGTGGCTGTTACAACTACAGTTGTTCCAATTTCAGTCATTTGTCAGCAAGTGGAGTTTTTTTTGATACCTACAAAGCTTGTATAGCTTCATAGACCCCCTTGAAAAGAATATATAAGCAAACAAGTCCTGGAGTCCCTTCACTTAACTTCCAATGCCATTCTGGAGTTTTATTTATTTATTGCAGTAGTGTTGGCATTAGGAATTGAACCCAGGACC